TAACACCACAAATTGTATATTATATAATAAAGTTACATGATTTGTGGTTATTGGTAAAAGCACATAAACAAATTACACATTCTACTAATTTAAACAAAAGTAAAATCAAACATAATGTATGATGATACATAAAATAAACCAAATGAAGCAATATAAAACAGCAGAATAAAAGATTAAAAACCAGGATTTCTATTTGATTTTGGCCCTTATTCCTTGTGCAAGTGGCATTAATACATCTATGGAATATAGGACAAGTTGTAAGGTGAGAGAGAAGAGCCAAGTTGTTTCTCCTTCATTAGCCCAGTGCTTAAAATTTTCCACTAATGGAGAGATCCATTTCCCCCTTATTTCTTCAAAGGCTGAACAAGTCCACAAACAGTGATTTAAATCCTCCATCTCATTCTTCCTGCAAGGACATATCCTGTCCACATATGAGGTCTTATACAACCTCCCCATGACAACTGAAGAGCTCATTTGAGTGAATCGCATAATGACCTCTCATTGGTTGTGGTTTTATACTTCAGATGGGTTTCTAGGCCAAAAGAGCAATTTATTAAATTTAAAAAAAGGAAGTTTGAGAAAGTCTCACTGCTTGCATACCTATTTGTATGCCAGCCTCTAAGTCTTAAATTTATATCTTGTTTTAAACATGTGAGGAAATACTGGATCGGGAAGTGTCAGCACATTTTCAAGATCATTTGTCTAGAGGAAAGTAATGCTCAGATTGGGGGGGGGTGAGGGACAGAGGAGTAAGGGTGGGGAAGGGAAAACATATTTATGGCAAGAGATTAGCAATGAGGCAAAATTGCTCAGAAGCAGATTTGTGCTTGCCTCTAAAATAAATTTTTCCCAATTAAAACAAAGTGTCAGCCAAAAGAGATTTGTCTTGCTTTCCTGGGCTAACTCAACCTAGAGACAGCATTGTGACACTGCACCAACTTAAAAAGAAGAATCTGTTTTGGCAAGGGCAGTTAAAATATCCCACTACCAAAGTATGTGGGTTCACTAATTTTATCATGGGTTTGCTCAGGGTAGCTTGCAGGCTGCAAACACTTTTCTCCTGTAGGGATCAAAGAGAATACACCATTTATTTGTTTGAGGGAGGAGAGGGGAGTGCAGGAGAGAAGGGAAGGAATTAAAGTGAACAGGAGTCAAGTTTTGTCCATCTCTACCTCAGACAGCTATGAAAATATCCCCTTCAAGTTAATAAAACAAACCAGATTTTTGCATTGGTAAACAGA